AAAAAAAAAAAAAAAAGACTAAAACATGAAGTGAGAAAAGTCTTCCAAAAATCAAACTAGAAGCCTTCTAAGACTCTAGAATTCTGAATCTTTACAAGCATCATTGAAATTTCCCTGCAGACTCAATTCCTTAGAAACTAGAGCATTAAGCTCTTCCAGGTCACTGAGTCCAGTACCATATACAATGAACATTATTTAATAATGATATAGATTCCTTCTCCTAAAGAAAGGAAACAACAGGGAAATCTAGAAATACCATGGAGGCTGCCATAGGCCAAATTCAGCTTCCTATGACTGAAAACGTTCAGCGCTTCAGAGAAGAGACAAAAGTGACCCTGAAAATAGATGCTAAGAAACATCTCTCCTCTCCTCCAAAAAATACAGAGTATCTTTTATTTGAGAAGTGGTTGTGTTTAATCATTAAAATCATTCTGACCCTAATGGAAGAGAGGTCACTCAAACTGAGAAAGGGTGGAGCTTTTTTTCCCTCACCTATTTTAGAGGCTGGTAAACAGTGAATAAAGGAGCAGAATCGCTAAGATTAGGTCCTAGAGAGACCTGGGGGGCACAGCACTGCACTCTCTTTTCTGCCTTATGTCAACCGTCATTGTCCTCAGGATGCCAAGCATCCAGCTCTGGTGAAGGCTGCCCTGGGTGACGCCTTCGGTCTATGTGTCCAAAGAATCCTCACTCTCTGTCCCACTGGGTTGGTTCTCCTCCTCAACATCAGCGGCCTGAAGAATCCTCAGTAGTTTGAGGTCAGGTTTCCAGTTTGTTTTAGCCACACTTTCTGAAAGTTTTTGGGGGTTCTTCTCTTGGTTGGCATTTGGGGCTTCCAATACCGTCTCTACCACCTCGCAAGGGAGTTCCATCATAGACATTTTAGAACCTACAAGAAAACCCAGCCATTAATCTCACCTATAGGCTTCTCCCAAATAACTGTGACAAGTGGAGTACAGAAAAGGAAAATCTGGGCTATCTTTAGGACCCCCGTGAAGGATGAGGACTGTACTGCCAGGAGGAAGCCACCCTGGTGAACATAGGTTCAGGACTGAGGGTCCTCCACTCTAACAACTTACTTCTCATGTCAGGCAAGAAACTCAGGGACGTGTCAGAGTGGTCCTTTCTTGATCTCTCTATGGAAACCTAAAATTTATTGGGGTAAGTACAAGAAAAAATGAATCAACACCTTAGAATTTTTTTTTTTTAATTTTTGGTACCAGAAATCAGACTCAGGACCTTGCGCTTGCCAGGCAGGTATTTATGCCACTGATATCCCCAGCCCAACACCTTAAAAAATTTAAAGCTTTTTTTTTTTTTCTAAAAGATGCTTTCTTGGAGAAATTAACAGCTAAGACACTGCAAAGATCTATCTTCTGGGACTGAAGAGAAGCTTTTATCACACATTTTCTGCCGCTCAAACTGTACAGATGAAGCCAGAACTCATTTTACCCAACTCCCAGCAGTCAACTGAGGGCAGACTCCCTCTACAGGTGGCTGCCAACAACTCCTCCCCTTCCTGGATGTGCATGCAGTTCCTCCCATCAAGAGATATAGTCTCTCTCCACCCCTGGGAATTGGAGCTAGACCTGTGGCTTCTTTGACCAATAAAAGGTGACACTGTAATCACCTGAGTGACTACTACACTGTCATAGTCACATGGAGAGACCTTATGGAAGAGAACCCAGGCAATGTGGCCAACTGTCCTGCCCAGATGCAGTGTGACCTCAGGCAAGACCAGCATGACTGTCCCACCAACACACAGATTCATTAGCAATAATGAAGCGTGGTGGCTTGAGCTTTGGGGCAGTTTGTTTCACAGAGAGAAATAGTGAAAGTAAGCCTTGGGAGAGGCCCTGCCACTCACCTGTTTCAAGATGGCTCCTTCAATCCTTATCTGCTGCTGTTGCTGCTTCGTGTCACTTTCCTGACCAGAAAGAGTTCCGTGACCTACTGACCACAAAGTCAAGTCAATCCTCTTCTTATTGGCACTTCATATCTCAGCGGTAGTAGTTTGTTTTCTTAACTGACACACAACAAGTGTAACTATTTATGAGATACCATGTGATCTTTCAATACATGTATACATTGTGTAAGGCCTTCTGATTTCTACTTGTGATTCTGTTCACTTGGGGCTGTAACTACATATATCACAAAATTGCATATAAAAATACAGTGTGTTATTATAAGATCCAGGATTCCTCCACATAAGAAGTAACTGCACATAGCAGCAGTAAAAGAAACCACAACTCTACCTTTCAGTTTATGAATATTCTTACCAGAATGTGACTCACCTTCTTGTGCCCTTCCTAACATACCCACCTTGGTCTAAAAATATGAAAACAAAAAAGTTCTAATTTTGTTTCTTTTGCATCAACTGTATCTCCAACAAGTCCCTAGATGCATTTGTCCTTTCCTTTTTGAACCTCCTTTTCTCTAAATAAACATCTTGCAAGCTGCCACCAGAAGTATTATGCTAAAAGACCACAACTCTGTTGGCTGCCTACCCGCTAAGGTTCTTACCTCACCTGCATTCTGCAAGCACTGGGGAGCTTTACAACACAGCATGAGACTAGGTGTAGCAGCACACCCCTGCCACTCAGGAGGATCACCATGAGCACGAGGCCAGCCTGAGCTACATAGTGATTATGGCTACTATGTAGCCTGAACTGCATAGCAAGACCCTGTCTTAAAAGACAAAAGAAAGACAGCAGGACCTGGTTCCAAACACCAGAAATTTAAAAAAAAAATAATACCAGAAATTCTGACCTAGTAAGTCTGGAGTTCAACCTGGCTCTTAAGAGTTTTAAAAACTTCTCAGTCTGTCCATCTGCAGCCAAGACGGAGCACCACTGACATGGAGACTCGAGCCTGATGGCCTTCACAGCCTCCACCAGCCCCCATCCACCTTTTTGGCCTGATCTACCTCTCCTTTAAATACCAACAGCCACATTGAAATGCTCAGTATCTTCCAAGCAGCCATGCTCCTCCAAGACGCCTCTACACAGGATATTGCCACCTCTGGGAATTCTTCTCCATGTGGGAAAAAAACCTACATATTTAAGATCCAATTTTAAAAATCACCTTTCTTTCTGCCCTGAGGATATGAATCCAAGGTGACCACAGTGACACATGTAAAACAGCTCCTACTGGAGGCATCGTGAAAAGGCACTAGGATGGAAGTCAGGCAGATGGTAGTGATCACCCTGGATGGAGTGCTAACCTTGCGCAAGTCACCTTCTATCCCAGGCCTCAGCCCTGATTCTTCTGCCTGCTGTGTGAAGGTCAGAACCCCTGGAGATGTAGCTTGTGTGAAAGCCCTGGGTTCAATGTAATAAAAATATTAATTAATTCTGAATGCCTGACAAAAGCAGGTCTCAAAATGGAAAAAGCACATTTCATTTTTCCTGCTGCCATCTATGTTCTGGATTTTATTTCTCAACCAAGCACCTATAGTACTGCCCTTACCACAGAGAGGACTGCAAGCAATGGCAGCTGAATGTTTATGTGGAGTGCTCTGGATCCTCTGATCACTCTTGGATTTCATTTCAGCCTCCTGAAATCCATAAGAGGAGGAACTGAGTTGGGGCTTTCGGAAATGAAGAACATTTTTGTAAAAGGAGTAGAAAAGAGACTTAACATCTACAAGCAGACAGACAACAAAAAGAACCCCAACTCTCAAGCAATCCTTCCCTCCCAGGCTGCACCACTTCTCCCGCCTGGTGAGTCCCAGGGCTCCCTCGCAGCACTCTCCCTGTACCTTGGTAGGGGTTTTCTCCTTCCCCTCTTGTGACTGCTTCCTGTGACCTGGTGACCAGAGGGCCAGGCTGATCATCTTCGCACTGACAGCCCCCCCCGCCCGCCTCCCGCTGGGCTGCCTGCTGAGACTCGCCCCACCACAGTGATTCTCCCTCAAGGTTCAGGACCAAGCTGGGCAGCTGTGTCCTGAAACTAGAGTTTCTGCATTCTACAGGTGACCCCAAATGACTATGGCCACAAACAACAGATCCAGGACCAAGACAAAGCAAGAGAAATGTGGGAGCCTGGAAATCCAGCAGCAGCAGCAAAGCTACCTTCTCTCTTCTTCAGATATTCTGGATATCGCAACGCTGGTCTCTGAAGAAAAAAATTTTAAAAAGGAGGGGAGGGTGGGAGGAAAAAGGGAAAAGAGGGGCAGAGGAAGAGGGAAAAGAATAGGAAGAAGAAGAAGAGGGGGAGAAGGAAGAAAATGGGAGGGGAGAAGAAGGAAGAGAAGGAGGAGGACAAGGACAGAGAAGGAGGAAGAGGAGAGAAGCTCTTCTGTAGGTCTCTCCTTTTCCCCAGATGCACTTATTCATCTAGTCAGCAAGCACACTGGGAAGCCAGTGTTTTGCAGCACTGTGCAGGAAAGGAAAGATGTGGGAAGCAAAGTGCAGAAGAAATGCAGTCACCTCTCTGCTCACTCCCTTCCCTGCACACTGGCTTTCACCTACACACAGCCCAAGTTCCTGTGGGGCTGGGGCCAAAGTGGCAGCACAGAAGGGAAAGAACAAAGAGAAAGCCAACTCTTCCAGCCGTGAGAAGGGAAGGGTTGGATTTTCACGTAGGGCCCTTCCTCCAAAGCACCCTGGCTCTTACTTGCAGGGTGAGGCGTTGTACAGTTAGAAACATCTTAGAAGAAATCGCACTGTCGGGTCGGTTCTTTTCCAGGGGAAGACTCTTTTTCATCCTATCCAATTGTGTTTTCATCTCCGGACAAGGCATGTTTTTCTCTCCATGTAGCAAAAGCCTAAAAGGGACAGAGACAACCAGTGAGTAGCAGCTGTTTCCAGAGGAGAGACAGATGAGAAGGGGTCCAGATCTGAAGACATTTCTGTTTTGGGTCTGGAACAGCCTCTGCCAAAAGGTGCTCACTGGGCGACACCTTTCAGATGCAGTCATGATAACCGCAGCTGTACTTATTGTGTATTCTGTGAGGCTTTATACCACTGAATCCTTCCGACACTCTGAGGACAAGTATTATCCTCACTTTCCGAATGAGGGAAATGAAGCTTAAAAAGGCTAAATAATTACCAAAAATCACAAAGCCAGTTAAGTTTCAATACAAAATTCAAAGGTTGTCATACTTCAAATCAATATACCATTCTGCCTCCCACTTATCCATAATTTATCTATAAAAATAATAGCACCTAACTGCTGGCGAGAGTTAAAATGAGAGTCCATATACAATGTGCTTAGTCAAGGGCCTACCAGACGGTAAGGACTGGGTAAATGGCCACGGTAATTACTGTCACCCCTGCCTATTGGTAAGTCTAAGAATGCAGTAAGCAAGCAGGGTGACATTTGCCCTGCCCTACTCAGAAACAGCATGTTGCTTGGCTCCGTCCCAGCTTCTGGGAAAAGCGGGAGCCCTGGCTCTCCTCTCGGCATCCATGATACTCACTCTTTCAGTAGATCCTGAGGTAGCATGTTGTCGTGGGCCCAGACAGGTATTGCTGAACTTAACCGCTCAGGTGTACGTACCACTGGGGAGAAGGGAAGCACAACCCCCTCTGGGATTCTTGACCCTGTCTCCGTGAACTGTCGTCTTTCAGGAGGACCCAGAGAGGACTCCATTTTCTGGATGAGAAAAAAATGCAACAAACTCTCCCAAGTACTGTCTTTGAGCCCATTTCTTCCCATTAACATTCCAGCATCCCAGCACAACCCTGACCTGTGCAACTAGTTGTTTCGAGAGCCACTCTATCATTCCCACCTTCCCTCCACGTCCCAATCCTATTGTATGTAGATCACACAGGGATTAACTGTAGTTTTGTTTGTTTGTATTGCTTTCCCAGAGAAGTCATTCACTATTCACTCAGTCTATCTATGTGCCCAGCACAGAGTTAGGGGTGGGGGTTTCACAGTGAATGAAATGGATCAAGACACTACTCTCATTGACATAGTACTCTAACAGCTCTAAGATTTATCCAAAATCACAGTTACCCATAAATGGCTAAATGAGAATTGGAAGCTCAAGTTTGCTGCAGTTTTTGTTGCTGTTGCTGCTGCTGGTGCTTCTGTTCTTCTTCTTCATCTCCTCCTCTTCTTCTCCACCTCCTCCTCTTCTTCACCTCCTCCTCCTCTCCCTTCTCCTCCTCCTTATCCTGCTGCCTCTTCCTCTTCTACGTCCTCCCCTTGTTCCTCCTCTTCTTTGTATGTGTGTATGTGTGTACATGCTAGGCATACGCTGTACTGTTAAGCTACATTCCCAGCCCTTTTTATTTTATTTCGAGGCAAGATCTCATCAAGTTTCCCAGGCTGGTCTGGAACTTGCAACCCTCCTTCCTCAGCCTCCTGAATAGCTGGGATTATAAACATATACCATGATGCCCGCCTGGGGATTAATTTTTAACAAATCAAAAAGTCCCCCTGAGAGCGCCAGTCTTCCGGCTGGCTAGCTTCCTGCCTGGTGGCTCCCGGAGGGTGGGCCCCCAGCGCATGGGGAGCCATGCGGCGGCGAGCGCTGTTGCACGCTGGCCCTTAGGCTGGCCGCCGCCGCTCAATTGAGATCTATCATGACACAGAGAAACAGTGACACAATTGGCCCACCATGCACCGACCACAGTTGCCCACCCACAGATGTGTGTGAATCATTGAAACTTTGAACAACCCCTGGGAATACATGCCATACAACGGGCCACTCTTGCTCCTGCCATTGGGAACCAGAAAGGTCCAGAGCCAGCGGAGGAGCAGCTGCTGAACAAGGACTCAGAGAACATGAGAATGCAGACTAAGCCCATGGAGTCAGAGGTCCAGTGGACTGGGTTCACGAGAGCCGCTCGCAAGCTGTAAACCAGGAGGACCTTGCACAATACCTGCAGAGACTCATTGGAAGCCATTCTTCCCCTGACAGTACAGGCTGTGGTGGAGCTCCGGAGAAGTCTGCAGCAGTATTCCTGCTGCCTGTGCTGACAGTTGGGGAGAGGACACTAACTGGTTGTGGGGTCCCAAAGCAATGGGAAGGTGGAGAGAAAAAGCTACAAAGACTGGCTTTCGCCTCAGATACCTCACTTGAGATGTTAGTAAGAATTGCCTCCTCAGTATTCTATAGCCATGATGAGGAGGAGGCCAAGGAGAGAAAACAAAGAGACTGAGAAAAAGCAGCTGCTTTTGCTGCACCACTAAGAGAAACAGATCCCAGGTCTGATTCCCGGGGCTCCAAGAACTCGACAACTGCATTCATCTGCTACCACTGTTAAAAGCCAGGCCACCTCAAGAGGAACTGCCATACCCTGGATGCAAAGGAGACCACTGGAGATCAGTCTGCCCTCTGAGGTGGAGGCCCCAGAGCTCAGACCCATGCTACCAGTTAGTCCAACAGGAATGAGAGGGCTTGGGGCATGGTCTGCCTTCCCCCTCTGGCCAGACCGTCATCTCCATCGAGGAGCCCTGGATAATCATGACTATGGAGGAACAAGAAAATAGCCTGTTGCTAGACACAGGTGCAAGTCTCTCAGTCCTTCTTTTCAATCCTGGCCTTCCTTCCAGCCATCATACCTCAGTGAAAGGAGTCACTGGTGAGGAGGTAATATGCTATTTTTGACAACCCTTAGGCTGTAACTACTTATTAGATCCTTCTTGCATATCTCTGTCTTCCTGAGAAACCACTTTGAAGATACCACCACGTATTACAGCAGCCATTGATATTTTCCTACTAATCTATCCATAACTGTGTAAAGTTTGTAATGTTCCTATCCTATTTCATAAATGGATGTATGTTTATTATTATGTGTTTCCTACAACAACCATTGAGAATAGTTAATGATTTTTCAATAGGTCACTCATGTATAGCTCTATTTATTTTCTTTAGAAGCCACTTTGAAGATACCAAAGCATAGCACAACAACTCTTGATAATCTCCTACCTCTTTTGTCTCTAACACACTATTATTTGTCTATTTGTTTTCCTGAGAAACTATTTTGTAGATAATAATATGTAAAACGATAACCATTGATAATTTCCTACCATTTTGTCTGTAATATGCTAAGTCCCCCCTATTATTATGTTATCCTTGTTTTACTCTTTAAAATAAAAAAAAAGTCCCCCTGAATACCCAACAGTTCCTCCTGTCATCTCAAGGGGTTCTGCTCCTCTCGACATGGTGCAGATAGAAAAAAAGAGTCTGAAGAGGCTTGTAATTATCCCTAAGGAAAGGTTTTCAGTTAGAGAAAGGAAGGGGTTAAGAGTGGGGAAGACCTAAAAGGAAAATATATCCTACAGAGTAATAATAAAGGTTTGGGCAAAACACTGAACTTACCCCTGCTAATACCTTTCTTTTCTTTTTCCCATATTGGCTAGGTGAAGATGTCTTCTCAGGTAAGCTTGAAATAAGAATAACCACAACTTATTCCCATACATCTTAAACAAAAATATCAAGAATATTTGTGAAAAACGGTCACGAAGACCCCTATCTCTCTAATTAGTACTCAAAGATGACTGATTGGGAGCCGAGCAGTACGTGCCACCCAGGTACCTGCCACTAAAAAGATCCCTCAACTTCCCATCTAAATTTGGTTCCCCAGCATTCTCTGGGACAATGTAGTAATTTACTTTCATAGTGTGAACATAAACTAGTAATTACATACTTAGGTGTGGTTGTGTCCGTGATATCTGACTCTCCCATACAACTCTTGGAGAACAGGGACCAAATCTACTTGGCTCTCCACTAGATCCTCACCACTTAGCTTGGAGGAGGTGTTCAAAAAGTACTTTTTGCCCTGTTTGCTTCTCCTCCTTCTCACTTGGGGAGTGGATATGAAAGTTGGGAGCTCTGGCAGCCAACACAGATCTTAAAAGTACCAATGAAGTCCCTTAGAGGATGGAAGCCTTGGGCCAAGGAGAATGGCCCAGAAAGCTAGAAGAGCTCTGGTTTCTGATTATCTCACAGAGCTGACATACTACTCCCAGCCCACTCACTTTAGGGCTTTCTTTTACGTGAAAGGAAATAAGTCATCTGGGTTTTCTTGTTGACACTATATGTAAGCACACAAAAAATGCATTCATGGGATCATTTGTGGAAAAAAGAGAAAGAAAATGAAAAAAATTCATGTGGTTACATCAACAAGGTGGCCAACTGAAAAGAAATTCAAACACTTAACAAGAATCTGAAAGGCTCAGCAATCACAAAAGAGAACCAAATTCTTTCCCTATGGTTTTCCACACTAGCAAGCCTTTGAGCCTTCACCAAATGATTTTTGTGCTGCCCTGCTTGATACATAAGTGCTGTATGCTATTTACCATATACCACTGTCACAGGTTGTGGTGGTCAGAGGTTCATATTCTTTACTGGGAGCTCTGTCACTTCTTACTGAGGGCTAAGGAAAACTAATAAAAGAAGTGTAATTCTTAAACTTCACAAATAAATTGGGTCCTATCTTATATGCTATTTACTGCCATGTGGAATTAGATAAAGAGAAGCTCCACAACATGAATCTCATAGTATATTAAAATAGAATTCCAAACTGGGTCATGGTGTATGCATGCATGTAAACCCAGCACTCAAGAAACTAAGACAGGAGGCCAGCCTAGGGTACATGGAGAGTTCAAGGTCAGCCTAGACTACCTGGCAAGACAAAAAAAAAAAAAAAAAAAAAGCATGATTACACCTTCCTATAATCCCAGAACTCAGGAGGCTTTAGTTCAAGGCCAGTCAGGGCTATATAGTGAGACCCAGCATCAAAAAACAAAGACATAAATAAAAAGAATTCCAGTGTCATAAAAGGGAGAAATGAGTGACTAGGACCACTTTTTCCACCTTGCCCTGTTACTTGCAGCGAGGTAGCTAAAAGGGAGATCACAAAAAAGGCCTGTGGAAATTTACAAAATATAAGGATAAAGGCCCCCCCCAAGTTCTAGACATGACACTTACCACACATTCTTTTCTGATTCTTCTGGGATCCAGATGACAACCATATTTCTAACATCTTCAGGGCAAGGAAGTTGTGTCTCATTCAAATTCAACACTGAAAGCTAAAAGAAAAATATAAAGCCTACATATAATTTAGATGCCAGGTTGCTACCAGTGCTAGTACCAGTTCCAGGAACAGACTAACAGCTCAATTATCACGCTAACCAAAAAGACTGGTGGCTCAGAAGATGATAAAAAGGCTTTTCCTGTCCCAAAATCATCTCCATAATATTCTCCCCCAAAAACAAACTATTTTACCAGGTATCGGTAGGTACTCTGTAAGAGTGAGCATCTGTAAATAGTCTCCTCTGCTCCCCTATAACATTAGAGTAAAATTTATCAACCCCTAGCCCCATCCCATAGAAGGGTATCTTGAGGCTGTCCTAGGGGAACACATTCATTGTGCTGGCCCTACTTCAAAGACTTAGATCCCTTACATATAATACAGTCAGGATTTTGGGAATCAGAATAGGGAGAGAATTGAAGGAGACAAAATTAAGTTTCCTACTTTTATGTACAGTCTGTCTATAATTATAGGCACCTATTTAAAAGTTAAAGTGTTGATTCTTCTCACATTTAACTCTTTAGGACCCTACAATGATAGAGTTTGAAGGAACCTTATAAATCATCTAGTCTATATTCCTAGTTAAGATATAAAAAAAGGAAAAAACTATTAAAAATAAGGCTGCCACTGAGAAAAGGACTAGGGAGAAGAAAGGAGACTCTTCATTGTAAATGTTTAATGCCTTTTGAATTTAGAATCTTATTTCATGTATATCTATTAAAATCATTAATTTAAAAATAATTTAAACAAGAAAGGAAGGGGTGGCACAGTGGCACATGCCTAAAATGCCAGCACTGGGGGAGGCCGAGGCAGGAGTATCTGGGCAACCTAGCAAGACTCTGTCTCAAAATTTTTTACAAAAAAATCTTTTTTAAGGCTGGGCATGGTGGTGCATGCCTATTATCCCAGCACTCAGGAAGCTGAGGCAGGAGGACCACTATGAGTTTGAGGTCAGCCAGGACTCTATAAGCGAGTTCAAGGCCAGCCTGCACTATATAGAGAGACCCTGTCTCAAAAATAAATCTTTTTTAAAGGATTGAAAATATAACTCGGTGGTAGAGCAGCTCAGGGTTCAAACCCCAGTACTGCAAAAATTTAAATTAAAATTAAAAATAATAATAATTTAACCTAACCTTCTCGTTCAAAGGAGGTCAAGAAGGTAAACTGCTTTGTTCATTCATCCATTCAAACCCATCTACTATCTCCTAGTTCCTTGCATTTTCCACCACATGATACAGAGCAGTTAAGAGTGAAAAAAACAAAAGGCATGCAGTTGGACTGCAAGAAATAGTAAATCTCTCTTTACTATAGGGAAGTAGGAAAGATTTTCTCCCTAAAGTTCTAATTTAGCATTGATTTACCCCTAACTAGCCATGTACATTAGCAAATCACTTCCCATCCAAGCCTCTGTTTCCTTAACTGTAAGATGCACAAGACAGACCATAATAATGTTCTTCAAACTGAAACTGTGATTATGCATAGCTCATAAAATTAAATTTTGTGAATCAAGCCCATATTGTTTAAAAATCAGATAGAATTAAACAGAATAAGACAGAAAATACCAGAGTACCTCCCCATAGTTAGAGTAAGGATTATTGCATGACATATTGTTATAAAATATAATTTCCATAGATGATAGTTTTAAAAGATTGAAAGTCATCAGACTAGATGACCTTTAGGCCTATTTAGGTCTGACATTCATCTTAATTGCTCTGACTATTAAATGACAATGTATACTTAGAAGTTGAACGTGCTTTATGCAATATAAAGAAAATTTTCACCTATACCAAACTTCCACACTCAATCCCACTTAAGTCTGGGACTTCTGAAAACAATATAGCATGTAAAACCATTAGCAAAGGGCTTAGCATATATTAAGGAGCCAATACTGGACAGTTATTAGCATTTTGGGGGCCACTTTGGGGATTGAACCCTGGGCTTTTGGACTGAGCTACATTGTCAGTCTCTTTTATTTTTTGTTTTGAGATAAGTTCTCACTAAGTTCCTAAATCACCCAGGCTGGGCTCAAACTTGTGATCCTCATTGACTCAGGCTCCCAAGTGCTGGGATTAAGACACATTCCACCACATCCAGTTTATCACTACTATTATTCTGACTATAGTTATTCTGAAGAATAACATTAAAGATCAAATATTTTATTCCCATTAGTAATGAGAAAAGGTTGAGGAAGTACCTTTTTGTGACTTTCTTTGGGTGATCTCTTACGATAGTTGATGAAACTTTTCTCAGGTAAATTCTTCTGAGCCCTAAAAAGCAAGAGTTGCAAACATGAAACAGAGACACAAAAGACACTGGGATGATAAAATAAGTGCTATGAGGAAAATTCTTTTACCTATCCACAGAAAACCTTGCGCTTAGTACTAACCAAATGAATGTAGGGACTCTTAAATAAACATCACATGCTGCAAACATTTTACAACTATGACACCAAACTGCTTTCACAGCCTATGCCTCTGTCTGCAGCTAAATACAGGTGCATCATCAACAAAAGCAGTGCAGCAGGGGCATGGTGACACCACTCTGGAAGGCTGAGGCAGGAGGATCACAGGTTTAAGCCCAACCCTGGATAATTCAGCAATTTAGCAAGACCCTGTCTCAAGATCAAAAATTTAAAAACAGATGAAGATAGAGCTCAGTGGGAAGGACCTAGGTTCAGCCCTCAGTATAACCAATCAGTCAGTCAATCAGTGTCAATGCAAATGTTCAAAACATGCTAACTAAATAGAATGTGACACATACATACAATAGAAATTATTCACCTTTTAAAAGTAATGAAATTCTGATACATGCTACAACTTGGATGAAACTGGAAAATACTATATCGAGTGAAATAAGCCAGAAGCAAAAGACAGATTTTGTATGATTCTACTTATCTGAGGTACATACAATAGGCAAATTCAGAGACAGAAAACAGAGATTACCAGGGAAGAAAAGGTAATATAGAGCTATTATTTAATGAATTCAGTTTCTGTTTGAGAGAAAGAAAAAGTTCTGAAAATAGGCAGTGGTGATGGTTTTACAACATTGTAAATTCTACACTTAAAAATAGTTAAAATCAGCCAGGTATGGTGGCACACACCTGTAATTTCAGCATTTGGAAGGCTGAGGCAGGAGGATCTCCATGAGTTCAAGGCCAGCCTGGGCTACAAAGTGAGTTCAAGGTCAGCCTGAACTGCACAGTGAAACCTTGTCTCAAAAAAGACATAAAAAAGTTAAAAACATCAATTTTTGTTATGTATATTCACTACAATCTTTTAAAAACCCAGTGTGATGGTGCATGTCTGTAATTCCAGCACTATGGGAGGCTGAGGCAGGAAGACTGCCAAGTTCAAGGCCAGTCTGGCTATATGGCAAGTTCAAAGATGCCCTTGTGAGACTCTTTCAAAAACAAAACAAAAAAAGATGTGATTAAATAATACCAAGAGGTATAAGATAAAGACCCAATTCTCAACCTGATTTATGAATTTCTGTGTGATGTAGACACCAATTTCTACAAAATAAAAACCAAGTGTCTGTATTTTCTACTCCTTAGCCTCATCTCTGATCACTCTTCCAGTGCTTTCTATGTTGCAAACACAACGAACTATTTTCCTGATACTGTACCTACAAAATTGCCTCTCCCCTCCAGGCCTTTGAACATGCTATCCCTAAGTTTACAACCACCTTCTAGCCCACATCCCACCTGCAGTGCTCACTTTACTAGACTGCTCAACTTCTGGACCAGGATGCTGTGTACAGCATCCTGATTAGGAAACTTTTCTGGTGTTACACACACCCAGGCGCCAGTCCACTCATGACACTCACCACACCAAATGTCCCCACCTCCCCAACTAGGCTGAAAGCTCCCCAACGAGGAAGGCTGTCTCTTACACAAGGTAACAGGACACTGTTGTATCTTCAGCATCCAACACAATGGCCTTCACTCAAAGAGGTTTGTGAATTAGGGCCTTGGGGCTTGAGGTTTGACTTTGTTTTTATTTTTTGTTTTTTGGGAGTTTCTTGTGGGGGTTGTTTGTTTGTGGTACTGGACAGTGAACCTAGGACCTTCGTACTGAGCTACATCTCCATCTAGTCCTTTTACTTTTTTATCTTTTTTTTTTTTTGAGACAGGTTCTCACTAAGTCACAAGTTGCAATTAAACAAATGATGTCATATCATGACTCTCACTTTCAAAGGGCTTTCACATCCAATTGAGCAAATGGGACACAGACATAAAAATATCCATAAGCTTACCAGGGACAATGGATGCTGGGGTAGTTTGGAAAAGTGAGCACCTAGGGCCAGCAGTAAATGAGAAAAGTCAACCCTGACAAAGATGAGAACATATCCATCAAACAATATTTAGCGAGCTTCTATTTTACACCACACACTACTAAAGGCACAGGAGACAAAGCAGGGAACAGAAAACAGCCATGGCTCCTGCTCTCAGAACTGACATTCCAATGAAAGGAGGCAGGCAAACTGAAGAACGCTTCAGAAAATAATGAAGACAAAAGAAGCAAGGTTAAATAATGGCGAAGTTATAGAGAAACTTTATACAGAGTGGTCGTGGAAGATCCTTAAGTAAAAGCACTTCTATTTTGCCCCTAGGACACATCTGGCAATGTCTGGAGGCATTTTGGGGATTGTCCCAACTGCCAGTGAGACACTGCTAGCATTCCAGGGATGCAAACATCCAGTGCTGCACTGGACAGTCCCAACAAACAATGAATGATCCAAAATGTCAACCATGCAGGGCTGAAAGCTCTAATCTAGGGGAAATCATTCAGAGGAAAGAGTTCTTCCATAATCCCTATTCATGGAGTAGGATTATGTGAGGAATACATAGAGTAATGGTGTGGCTGGAACCTACTGAACAGGAAAGGAGAAATGCAAGATGCAGTCTACTGGGAAGGCAGGATCTCATGAGGCCATATAGGCCATGCCAGGGACTTAGTGAAACACAGCAGAGGTAAGAGGGTCTTTAAGGTTATGGAAATCACAAGAGCAAATGTCAGACACAGAAAAGAAAATGAGAAAAACAGTCTGGCTCAGAGGAAAAGTTGGCATCAGAGAGGAGAAGATTCTATGAGTAGAGAGGAGTGATAGTGAAAAGGCCACAACTACAGAATGAGCAGGCATGGAACTATTCTCTAGTAAAGGAAGGCATACTCTGTGAAAGGCAATGAGAAAAACAGTATTTCTTGAAGCCTAATCAGTTGATTGTTTGTCAGACTGTTTAGGAGGGAAGAGGCAATGAGAACAGTTTATAAATCACTACAGGGCTGGGGGTGTAGCATAATGGTAGAGCACTTGCCTAGCTTGTGAGAGGCCCAGGGTTCAATCACCAGCACCACATAGAGATGGGGAGGGTAGGGGAAGGCAGCCACTGCAAACACAACACAAGAAGTGAGAAAGCAGGAAGACTGAAGGAGAATGCATGGAAGCAGGAGCTGACTGGATGAGGTGGCCCTCAGCACACCGTGCAGCTGGGCATGGCAGCACAAGTGCGCTGTGTGCCTGTGTGTGAATATTAGACACCAGATCTTGGCTGCGAGATGCTGCCATTTTCCCAGGACACAACTCCTAGAGACCCTGAAAGTAGTCCTACCTTTCTTATGCTGTCTTTAGCTAAGAAAAATCAACAGCAACTGCTTACATGGAACAGAAGAAAATAAACTATTATAAGGGCCACTATTAGCACTTGAATTCCAGGCAACAGGGTCTTCAAATTCTAAAAGTCTGTTTTTCACAAATAGTTGTCCCTCAGTGTCATGTATCAGCAAGATTGGGTGCCTAGACTTTCTAGGAAATTCAAAAAGAAAAGCCACTGTTTCTGCCTCCAGGAGCTTACAAATAGTTTCATATCTGAAAATAAAAGACAGGAAGGATGACGTGTGGACAGAGTTTTCCGATGACCTACAGAAGCTGCTAAGATACCCCCTGGTAGGGGCTGACTTGTGTCTCCTTCCCCCAACATTTATCTGTTAAATTCCTAAGAATGTGACAGTATTTGGAGAGAGGAACTTTTACAAGATAATTAAGGTAAAATGAGGTCATATGAGTGGGCCCTAAGCCAGTATAAGTAGTGTGCTTGTGAAATAAGGAGACAGGCCACAGGCACACACAAAGAGAAGACTATGTGAAGACGCGAGGAGAAAACAGGCATCTACAAGCCAAGGAAAGAAGCCTCAAAACAAAACAACCCTGCAGACACCTGATCTCATACTTCGAGCCTCCAGAATTGTGGGAAAATGAAGTGCACCGTTTTAAGCCATCCAGTCTCTGGTACTCTGCTCCACAGTCCTAGCAAACCAAAACAGCTCCACATCATCAGATCCCAGAACACAGCAGGAGTGCTTTGTTTCTCTACAGCTACTCATCACTTCTGTAACTGAATTAGTGCTTTCTTTTTAATCCAGCTTTCTTTTTAATCCAGTGTTCTCAAAGTCTAACACATTCACAAAGGAAATAACCTAGAATTTTGAGATGACAATCTACTAGAAGAAGATATGATAATTTACCTGCCTGGAAATTTGGAGGCAAGCTTTGAGCCTCGAGACAATAAAGAACGGGCTTTAGTGAAGGCAAGTTCTGGTGATTGCTGATGAGCAAGTCTCTTGGCCTGGAAGCAGGAATCTGAGATGTTTACAATAGCGAGCCCAGGGAGTTTATCTGAGAAAGCAGATCAGAGGGAAACATGTAACACATTGCCTAGAGAAAGAGAGCCATACAGAGAGAGTTTAAGAACCTCTTGAGAAGACAGAAGCTGGCAAATTTACCTTCAGCATCCAAAGGAGTTTTGCAGGGTGAGCTCAGGATTCGAGGATGGCCCCTTTCAATTCGACGGACAGCTGCCCAGCACTGTGGATGCGGACAAACAGCCAAGTCACAGGTGGTTTCATCCCACTGGCTGTCATCTGGCAAGACCATGGCTATAAATGGTTTAGGACAAAGGCCAATCCTGCAGCTTTCTGAGAATCAACCACCACATAATCAGAGAGTAGTATTATACATTAGCCATACAGTCCAGATCTTAATTTAGACTCAAATCTTAAAATATTTGTATTGAACCTATATAGGTAAAAGGTGGACACAAGTAAGGAGTAACTAAAGCTTGACTGCCTAAGCAAGTATGAAAATATCTCACCATGAAGTCAAATAGCAAGTCTGAAAGCAGAATGAGCTCAGGTCTCGTGACTGGCCAGTTAATAGCTAGGTGACCTGGGATTTAATTAAACCAAGCCTGGTGTCCTCATTTGTACAATAAGGATAAGCCTGCCTCACAGTCATTATAAAAATGAGTTAATGGACATTAAAAAGTCTGGCATATAGTTCAAAATAAATGTTGGCACCCTTTCTTTTTCCCATTCATTAGTCATTAGGGACAAATGCTACTATCTCTGAAAAGCTGTATCAAATGACAACCAATTAAGTCAGAAAAGTGCTTTAGACGGTTCAAACCTTTGGAAGACAGGCTTCATTTTTTGAACATGTTGTAATTCTCATGCAGGCAGATAAAACAGCCATCAGCAATGAATGGGTTTGTTCAAACCCCAAGTCAAATAGACTTGCAGCTGTCTTTAGATTTCATTCATCATCTATATGGCCTTGGCCAAGTTACAGTACTTCCTCTTTCTCAGCCTGCTTCCTTATTAAAAGGAGGAAGGTGTTTTTATGTATGATATATAATAGGTACTCAATAATTATTATCTTTCCCTCTCTAGAGATTTTTGTTGTTTTGAAACAGGGTCTCGCTATGTACGCTGGCCTTAAACTCGCTTATGTAGCCTAGGCTGGCCTCAAACTTACAGCAATCCTCCGGCCTCAGCCTCCTGAGTGCGAGGATTACAGGTGTGCACCATCATGCCTGGCTCTAGTGATGTTTTAGATGTTTACTATCACCTTATCTCTAACCCTACTACCACCACCACTATAGTACTGGGATTGAATCTAGGGCCTCCACACTAAGCTACTTCCCCAGCCCTTATGAAAATTTATTTTTTATTTTGAGACAGGATCTCACTAAGTTAAACTGCCCACTGGGCTTGAATTTGCAATCCTCCTGCCTCAGCCTCCTAGGGTGCAGGGCTAATAGTCATACACTAACATACTAGCTTCTAATAACTTTTTAGGAACACTGTCCCTTTCTTTTTTCTATGAAACACCTTTATTACCTATCAAATACGTGTGAGAGGACCCATTTGGGGCATGAAGAACAGCAGTAGGCAAACTGTTTGGTGTGTGTGTGGTACTGGGGACTGAAACCAGGGTCTTTGCATTGAACTACATCCTAGGCTGTTCAATTGTTTGTTTGTCGAGACAGGGTCTCACTATGTAGTTCAGACTGGCCTTGAACTCACTGTAGCCTAGGCTGGTCTGGAACTCCCAGTGATCCTCCTGCCTCACCAGAGTGCTGGGATTACAGGCATGTGCCACCATGCCTAGCTCCCAGCCCTTTTTTGGGGGTGGGGGTGGGGGTGGAGTGCTTTGTTGTTTTGTGTTGTGTTTTGAGACAAGGTCTGGTTAAATTGTGAATTGCCCAGGCTGGGTTTGAACTGGTAAGGCCAGCCTGAACTACACGTGAGGTCCTGTCTCCAAAACAAACAAAAAGTACAACTTAAAACGCCACTGCAAAACCTCAGTAATGATTTCCACAGGGAAAGAAATATAATGAACAACTGACTTAATGAACTAAAAAATAAATACAGTTTTAACGCGGGTTATTTTTGAATGCGAATATGATGTCGCATCTCCTCACAAAGCAGCAGCCTGTCTCCCTGCAGTTACCTGCTCAGCCCGAACTGAGCCCCCACGTCCCATCAGGCACATCTCCATGCCACCATTAGCACGGTGTTAGCAAAATGACTTGCGCTGGAAAACAAAACAAAAAACTCGCTAACACTTATCCTTAAATACTATTATTATAAAGTTATGAGGGGGGAAAAAAAACGGACATTGATCTCACGAGTAGAAAAAACTTCCTCGCTTCATTTTGGACAAGGAAAAAAAAAAGTGGGAGACGCCAATCTCACAGGGTCGCAGTCCCGCAGAACCAGCGCAGATTGAAAAAAACAGCTTTAGTTCAGAGCCAAAGGGTAATTTTGCCCCTCACAGTACTCTGAGGTCGCCGGCCTTGCCTCTGGTTCGCAGGGACCGGGCCGTACTAGTTTAGTCCCCGCCTCTTCCTCCACTGGAGGCGCCAGACCGCGCTGTCGCCAAGCAGCGGCGCAGATGACGATGGGAAATAGACGGAAGCCTCAATGAGTCATACTTCATCAGTGAAAAAATTCCACACGTAGTAATGGCGTAAAGCGGAGAACCGTAACTAAGGAGGAAAGTACGGGGCACAGTGGGGCCGGACGGAAGCCCCGGCAGGCCAAAACCAATGCAGCGTGGAATGTTCAGAGGCACCGGCGAGTTGAGTAGGCGGGGTTGGGTACGGGAGGGAGGCTATGACGCGCGGGGCACTGTGGGACACAGTGTGGGCAACGTGGGGCTGGACGGGTGCCTCAGAGGGTCAGATCATAGCGACGCGGGAAGTCTGGACGAGGTAGCAGCCCGAAGAAGAGGCCTGTGGCAGAGGAGCCTCGGGCCCCTGCGTTGGCCATGGCGGAGAGGCCCGAGGACCTAAACCTGCCCAATGCCGTCATCACCAGGATCATCAAAGAAGCAGTGAGCTGCTCGGGCAGGCGGGTGGCCGGGGGCGGACAACAGGACCGGAGGGAAGCGGGTCCTGGGCCGGCAGCTTTGCTCATCCCAGTTCTCCTCGCAGCTCCCGGATGGTGTCAACATCTCCAAGGAGGCCCGCAGCGCCATCTCCCGCGCAGCCAGCGTCTTTGTGCTATACGCCACATCCTGGTGAGTGGCAGGGGAGGAAGGGAGGCGCAGAGGGACCCCCTGGCTGGGACCCGCAGAGCCCAGTAATTGTGATTCACAGTCTTCCTCCAGCTCCAACAAGTGCTGAGGCCGAATAAGCAACAGAGTAACCGCCCCAGCCTGTTTTCTACGGAGAAGGACAAAAGCCGCGCACCTAAGACGTCGTCGGCTTCCCCACCCCACCTTTCGCTGATCCCTCTCTCCAGCACCACACCACAAAGGAGGAGGGTGTCCGACACACCCGATGGCTTTTGCTCTTATTTTTTTCAGTGCCAACAACTTCGCAATGAAAGGAAAACGCAAGACACTCAATGCCAGTGATGTGCTCTCAGCCATGGAAGAGATGGAGTTCCAGCGGTTTATTACCCCGTTGAAAGAGGCTCTGGAAGGTAACAGACCCTTCAGTTCTCTAAACCATGTAGAAGACGGTCATCCCGTGTGACCTGTTCGTCTGGCCTTGAGGCTTTGAGTCCATTAAGCCAGTACTGGATTTGAGTCCACCCAGTTCAGTTTGCACCACATCAGACCTCTTACTTCTGCGCCTCAGCTTTGGCAGGGGTACAGTGGAGTTAGCTGCTGCGGTATCTGGTGCCCTCTTGCAGCCCTGCCTTCTGACCCCCTCCTTCCTTACAGCATACAGGCGGGAGCAGAAAGGCAAGAAGGAAGCTTCGGAACAAAAGAAGAAGGACAAAGACAAAAAAACAGATTCAGAAGAGCAAGACAGGAGCAGGGAGGAGGAGAATGATGAAGATGAGGAAAGGCTGGAAGAGGAAGAACAGAATGAAGAGGAGGAAGTAGACAACTAATACCTGCGGCACTGTGGAAGCTGCCACTCTGAGACATGGTACATGTTTCTGTGACGCTTTTCCCTGCTGGGCAGAGTAGTCTTAGGCACAGGTGCCTGGGGAGATCAAAATAAAAAGTGACTGTAATTATCATCAGAACCAGCGTTTCACCAACTCAAAGCATCTGAGTACCGGAATCCTCTTTTGTTTAATCAGTCTGAAGGTTATTACTTTTCTGGCAAGAGGGATTCTGAACGGCTAATTAAATTAGCGGTTTGTTATCTTGTTTACTTATGCATATGGTTATGTAGTTTTTTTAATCACCAGTCTTCCTGCCCCTCCAAACAGATAATAATAACTTCCATGCTGCCTGCTGTGTTTCCGATCACAGAGGCAGGGAAGGCTCAGGAAAAATTAGGGCTTTGATCGTGGTCAGCCATATTTGATTTACAGTAGTTTGTTAAGAATGTTCACAATTGCCTGGGCATGGTGTCACATGCCTGTAGTCTCAGCTGCTTGGGAGGCTGAGACAGAAGAATTACAAGTTTTGAGCCCAACCTGGAAACTCAATGAGGCCCTGTCACCCCCTCCCCAAAAACAGATGAAAGAGGCTGGGTATGTAGCTTAGCATCTCCTCGGATCTGTTTTTTTAAAAAAGATAATCTGTTCTGTGGTTTCTTCACTTGACAGCATTAATTGAGTTCTGTTTTCTCTGCGACTACTTGGCTTGGGGCCTGGTGCCTTGCCTGTAGGCATCTGACCTGCTGCTGGTGGTTGTGCTCTGAGCACAGTGTGCTCTTAAATTAGCAGTGTAGATTGGAAGTCGTCAAACAAGAATGTTTTACAAAACAGATGGCTTATTCCTAGGTTTACCTCAGCCCTGCCACTGTACAGCTTAGGATTTATTGTCACCTCCTGGAAGGTGTAAAGTCCCAGGCTTTCTCTTACGTACTATGTCTATCTCCCAGACTTGTGGCTATGATTTTTCATTTTTATTCCTGACAAGTTCGAGGCTTCACTTCATCTAAGCACAACGTTTTCCCTCTGTGCTTCTTGCTTTCTATTTTCTGCCTCTCCTCTGCCTCCCATTCCCACTGTCTTTCCCTTTCTAATGCATGTGCAAATCTAGCAACTTTGAATATCTGATTAATGTCCCAAAA